CCTTGGTAGCTTTAGAGGTATATATGGTTCGCTGTAGAGGTGGTGGCGTCCTCTGTTTCTATAAGAGTAGTGGTAAAAGCTTCTTGGGTTTCTTGAAAGGTTGAGATGGTAGCATCTTTTGCGTATTGCAGCGTGGTTTGCGTGGCTTGGTCCTTCCTTGAGACTTTCTTTCTTGTTGCTATTTGAATATGTTGATTGGTTGTTGATTTTCTGAAGTAGTGTGATGTAGTGATGGTTGTTGTTGGCTGCTGGGGTTTAATAATAGGTGCAGAAACTGGTTGAGTTTGTCCACCAGAAGTTTTCTTGATGGGTCTTTCTGCTCTGAAATGAAAAAAGTGGAAATTACAACCATTAGTTAAAATGAAATCAGTGGCTTGTTTAGATGTAGCTACAATCTTCATGAACCATGTATTCTGTCCCGTGGTCTTGGATCGGATTCAGTATACTGCATGTAGTCTTGTCTGGGTTGAAACTTCCAGTGACTGGTGTATTTCGTCTGGAAAAATTGACCGACCGATGCCCATTAGGTAGACAGAAAAAAAAGGTTAGAGTTAGCGCGGGGTGGTTTGCAGACTATGGGCAGTGAAGAGTTCAAAGGAGAACACAGACATAAGTGGTCTTCGTGTGTAAGGGGTTGAATAAAAATTCCGCCCCTGCGAAGTACTCTTGTCTTGGTTGGGTCAATGGCTGCAATCGGTTTGAAGTCGGCCATGAAGACGTTGATTTGTCTAATTGAGAAGTCATGGGGTAACCCGTCGATGATGACGGAAGAGACTGCTGGACTGGTCGTCAAGGGTGGTCCTGGTACCGAAGGACTGCTGGAACTCAGGATCGCGGGGAAACAGGTTATCATGAAAACAAACCGCAAACGAACGAGCTTGGCAGGTCAAAATCATGATCAGTACTAAGCAATATAAGGTTTATATATCATTACAAAGACAAAAGACACAGTGATTAAATGTGACAGAAATGGTGTCAGCAAGTGAAAGAATATAAGTGGAGGTCAAGTCTGGTCAAATGTACGAACAATGAATAGACCTTGTTAAACACGGCTGATGTTGTTAAGGCCACTATCATGTTTTAGTGAGAGGTCATTTACTTAGTTTCCATAGTTTCTAAACAGTCTCTTTTTTTTAGTTTTAGGTTGGTGTAGGAGAATTTCACCCCAAAACATTTTGGGCCCCGTTTCATATTGATGGTATTTTAAGGCACATACCTGGGATTCACCTCTACGCATGTGACCTTGGTGTTCTTTGTATCTTATTTCTAAGGAACGTGACATTTGACCTATGTATTTCTTTCCACATTCACATGTGATACTTTATATTCCCTGTTTTTGTTTTTTGAAAAGGAATTCTTTCGGGTTAGGTAGTAAGATGCTAGTTTTATGAAAAGGTCTAAATACAGTTTTACATCAATGCTCAAATTATTAAAAAGGCTAGTAATTTCGTTAGCAATGTCTGGCACAAAAGGGAATGAAACAAATTTGTTATGTCTTGTGCTGTTGATAGGTGAAAGGTTAGTGTATTTGAAAGAACTTTGTTGGTAGAATCAACTTTGAGTGCTGTGTAAGATCCCTCATCTAATAAGGTGTTGACACCTGCTTTATAATGTTATTTATCTACTACTACCATGCAACCATCTTTGTCAGCTCTTGTTATGCATCTCTTGTTGTTAGACTTTAATTCTTTTATGGCATTGGCTTCATTTCTATTAAGGTTAGGTTTAATATTTTATCCTGTAAGTCTAGAATATATGTTAACTCTGATTTTTTCAGTTTCGTTGAGGTTAGATTCTTTGGTAGCAACAATTTGTTCGATAGGTACATTTATAGGGCCCCTCAGTGGCACAGCGGTATGTCTGCGGACTTACAACGCTAGAAACCGGGTTTTGATACCCGTGGTGGGCAGAGCACAGATAGCCCATTGTGTAGCTTTGTGCTTAACTTCAAACAACAAACAAACATTTATAGGTTTAACAGCAAAGTTTAAGCCTAAGCTAAACGCAGAAATCTGATCATCAGTTAATGGTTATTTAAAACTGAAGGAAGAAGATTAACAGGTCGGAAAATTTTCACCTCTTCTTTCTGGTTTTCTGTCAGATTCTTGAGTTTCTTGTTTTGGTTGGCTGTTTTTCTTTTCTGCAATGTTGGTTGAATTAAACCAGCTGGCATAGTCGAGTCTGTTCCAATTCACATTATAAATTCACGCATACATGAAATGACTCTGTAAAAATTGTGTTCATCACTTTGAATTTTCACAAAATGTTTATGTAAGGGGTACGTTCCACTGTTATAAGAATCTTATTAATGACATTATGAACCTATTTTTGTTGTTCACCATTTTCCACCGGTTAAACTGTATATAATATAATAATTTATACAGTAAATAACACCATAATAAAGTCCTATTTGTTTGAAATCTTGTTTTACATAAGAAATTTCACTTGTTTGAAATGAGTATACATACACTTAGAATATATTTTTCATATATAGTTTTTTATGGTTCTTCACCAAATTAAAATCATTGTTTTTTTAATTGTTAATGGTAACAGATGGTATTCCAAACTTCATAACAATAATTTTTATGGGATAAGTGGGTTCCAAAATCACAATTTTCTTTTGCTTATAAGGGAGTTAAGAGTTTGAAACTATTTGCCGTACTAAACGGTCTGGTATGCGTGCGGGTTTTTCTGTTTCTATTAAGAACATTGTATATTTTATTCTTCGAAATGTCGTGTCCTTTAGCTCTACATTGTTTACCAATCCCGTTGCATATACACCACTCTTCAGAAAGAATCGTCACGACACCTTCAAGTCACTAATAATAATTTTATAAGCCCAAACAAGAAATGAGTTTGTATAAGAGGCTTGGTTTGGTTTGAATTTTGCGCAAAGCTACACGAGGGCTATCTGCGCTAGCTATCCCTAATTTGGTAGTGAAAGACTAGACGGAAAGCAGTTAGTCATCACCACCCACCGCCAGCTCTTTTACCAACGAAAAGTGGGATTTATCGTCACATAATAACACACCTACGGCTCAAAGGGCGAGCATGTTTGGTGGGATTGAGATTCGAACCCGCGACCCTCAGATTGCGAGTCGAGCGCCCTAACCACCTGGCCATGCCGGGCCCGAAGCCATACACTGACCTGAAAACAAAAGACTGGAAACGTCGTCCTTTACACTTGTGTTTTTACAACAGACAATTGCCATCCATTGCAGTTTACTCATTGTGTACTCTTGTCCAATTACGTTCAGAATATAGCATAAACAAAAACGAAAAACATTATCTTATCAATCTCCAGAATAATACTGTAAACTTCAATAAGATCACCTCTTGTCCTTCTTTAACAAGGAAAAATATGCTAGGAAATCTTAACATTTAGGGGCGGATTGGCATTAAACTTTAAAGGACCAACCCGGGCAATATCACATGGTGCTTACTGGCTAAACAATCAGAATTTAAATTCAATTTCTAAGAATTCGTCAAATTAACCGGCCAACCGGCAATTGCCTGGCTTCTCGTGGTTAATTCCGTTCCTGTTAATGTATTAGTGTAAGTAAATCCTTCCATCTCAAACATCATACCAGTGCTAGTAATTGCCCTCCATTGAACCCTTTCCAATCAGTCAATATCCTTTCTAAGATAAGGAGACCAAAACTGTACTGAACAGTATTCTTTAACTTGTGTAGATATAATTATATCTTTTTTTTTTTTTTTGTAAATGATAGACTATAAATATATGGTTGCCAGATGTGTGGCACCCAAAACCGGAAGTTTGTCTACAGCCGTTCCCTTCACCTAATAAACAAAGTTCATACACAATTCACAAGCGATTATGGTACCATATTATAATTATGCCTGCGCAGAAATTCTCATACGAGAATCTTCGATCCGCCGTCACTGTTTTATCTACGCGCGAAGCTTACGAAGCACGTGACCTGAACATTTTAGCCTTCTAGTGGCAGGATAAATAACTACATTAAAGAACCAAATTAACAGGCGTTTGTTAGTGTGAATATTTTGTCTCTTCTTTATCAAACCGAAGCGCTAAGCTAAGAGATTTTGCGGAAATTGTTGAATGTAAACGGGAAGTGGAAACTTCATTGATTTTTAGGATATACCTAAAATTCTATTAGCATTACTAATAACAACAGAAAACTGCTTTGATAGTTTAAGTGTTTTAGTCACCAATAAACAAAATATTTTACTTCTTTATATGTAATTTATTTTCTTCACCCACCCAAGAACCCTTTATGTTTTTCACGGTATTAAGTGGGTTCCCATCTATGTCTCCGCGGATTTATAACGCCAGAAACCGGGTTTCAATACCCATAGTGGACAGACCACAGATAGCCCATTGTGTAGCTTTGGGCTTAATTCCAAACAAGCCTATCTATATTAAATGTATTATCCAAACTGACATTACCAGAACGCAAATTCTTACTTCTACTAATGATGATATACTTTTATCTACATTCTACATCTCCAAATATACACTTATGCAACACCGAAATTATGTGAAATATTAACATTCCATCTTTGCATCTAAGTAGGCGAGTAATTAAAAAATAATAATTGTTGGATTTGCAGTCATAACAATTGTTCGTAGTTTGTTCATATATCTTTACCTGACATATTTTATTACATATGTAGAACATTATTAAGTTGCACATCTCCACATCAATTAGGTTAGCAGATGTGAATATATTTTACTATAATTTACATATAAAAAGAAATATATTTATTTCCGTTTAAATGATGAGATATGTAAATTGACTGTTATTTGTATAAGTATATTTATTCCGAAAAATATTCGGATAACTTCGGTATGCAATTATAGCGGGATAGAAATAAATTGACCATTAGAAAAGTAGTCAGTGATCATGTGACTTTACAAAACCAATGAAATTTCTCCTTTTAGAGTCAATCCCATATGTTCGGGTATTTTCGTGCATATAGCTGACAAGCATAGAAAAACTTTTCATCTATAGCCGCCATATTGGTTGGTTAGAAGTTAAGAATTTGTCGAGCTTTACTTCCGGTTTTTTAGACAGGTGCTGCATTATGATGGGTTAATCATTAATCATATTTATAGTTTAGTAATCTGTAGAAAAAAAATAGGGCATCATTATTCATTTCTAGCGTGATAATTTAATTCATAAGAATTTAATGTTGGTAATACCGAACCAAGTCTACTGTCCGGTGTGTTACCGCTGAGTTTTGATGGAGGGGTCGTATCATAAGTTGAGATGTCGTAGAGCGAGATCATGATGACACAGTATTTGCACTCACTGCGAGAAAAGGAGAGTAATTGTGTGCTGTCTTGCGGTTATGTTTATCGAAATCGGGTAGGAGTGGACACTTTCAGAAATTTAGGCCTACATTTTAAAGTTAAGTCTTGATACCGAATCGGAATAGACAATTATTGATGCTTCGATAGGGCATTGGTCCGTATCAATCAACATGGCTGACCATCTTGTGGACGGGCCTCCGAGTAAACGGCAGAAGCTTATCGAGTCGACGCTGTCATCTTCGGATTCTGCAGGCAAGTCGTACATTTTAGGCTTAACCAATTGTTTTGTAAACTTATAAAAAGTAATGTTAAGTTAGTCCTAACATTGAATTGCGTTTTACAGGAACGTATCTCTAGCGTTAGGCTTAGGTTAATTTTATCTAACTTCAAGTTCTAAGCTAAGGTCTTGAGCTGCATCCTAAAACTGCACAGCTAGTACTAGAAGTTAGAGTAGCACTGTTTACCAATGTTATTTCGTTACTTGTAAATGCCAGAAAAGTTAAGTGTGATTTTTACACTAATATAATTCTTTAGTATTTGGAAAACATCATACTAATTGCTATTGTTATTTGATCAAAGCAAGAGTTTTTATAGTAACAGCACATAATGCATCAAAATACATAAAGCTAATAGTGAGTAATGCAACAATAAAGTGTGCATGCTTCAACTATTACCTGTTCAATCCAAAAATTTATGGTTTGACCTGCTATTAATAATACATACACACGTATATATATATATACAGATTCTGAGTTCTGAATTTGCCATAGTAATTTTGGTGTTATTATGAGTCTGATAATATAATTCTTTAGTATTTGGAAAACATCATACTAATTGCTATTGTTATTTGATCAAAGCAAGAGTTTTTATAGTAACAGCACATAATGCATCAAAATACATAAAGCTACGGTAAATAAACTAGTTAAAATTTTAAACAGTCAAGCTTTTCTAACCTTTCTTCAGATATTTTAATTTGACGCATTTTTCAGGAAGTAAAGATGTAAATTTTGCAGTGTGTATTAAGAAGTTTCAGTTGAATATAGGGAATTTAGCCAGGTTAAAATAAGTTTTTTTGGTTTTATGCATTATTCTGACTGGTTATATTAAACATGTGTTTGAAAGTGCATTACAGTGTGTGTAGCACTTTTCCAGAAACTGTATTTCACTTGTTGATAAAAGGACAGCATGCAATTAACTCTTTCAGCACAGGCTTGGTCCATGGGACTGACCTCGTGATCATTTTGTGCTAGTTATAGTTTTCATACTATAACTTTTAAATTAGTAAGCGAATGTTGACACAATTGGGCATATTATATGTAAACATTACAATGCTTTCATATGCAAAATATAAATTTTTTTTCATTAAGTCTTAAGGTTTAGCAATGTTTTTCTCGTGTCTTTTTTTTTTTTCACATGTTGCCTATCTAACATGCAAAGTAATTTTCATTTTAAGATTAAAAATACTTTTGTGCATCAGAAAATTTCCAAATTTCACATGCAAAATCGTTATAAAGTCCAGATAGTTATCAAATGTTACTTTACAAAAAACTATATTTTATCTGTTATTTTCAGTTACAAATCTCTGTACGTGATTGGTAGATTTGACCGATCTCCCAACCACCTTATAAAATTAGGAAATAAATATAAATTTTTCCTCTTTAATTATAGAATGAACACAAATTATAACACGAAAACATAAATATTTTGACTAAATAGCTTAAATCTTATAACATTATACATTTATATATTTTTATTATTTTGACTTTTAAGCCGTGCCTGGCTAACAATACAGAAGTTACAATGATGCAGCTCAGGTGCACTCATGTTACCATATCAATTAACATAAAGGTGACCATTGGTCTGTTTAGTCAACTACAACACAGCCAAGACAAGTTACTTTTGTATTTTGTAAAATACAGCCACTTTTAAATTATTACACATTATATATGTGTATAGATTATTGCTATTTTGAAACAAGTTCTTAAAGTTATTTTTCCTTAAACATAAACAATAAATAGAGGTAAAGCAAACAATTATCTCTTCTAGTTATGACCTTTGTACTCAGTTGCTGCTTGACATAGGTTGCTAAGCCTTTAAAAAATTTGCACATGGAGAATATGAAACAAAATATTTTTTTTTTAGGTTTTATATATACTTTTGAATAACTGAAAATAATAAATTACTATATCAGTACCATAGAATTCTACTATAATTTATCAAACTTAGTGACTAAGCTGTATTTGGGTCAAAAAATATGAAATTTCAAACAGCTTAAAAACACAACCTACCTCGTTGAAATCTTCATTCAAAAGAAAGAAATGGAGCTAGGTACATTAAAAAGGCTGAGAAAACTACTAGGGGGATATTCTGAGCTTCCGATATAAGTGAGCATTTCCAAAAATTGAAAAAGGATGGTCATGGTGCCACCTTATTTTATATTCTAGCTTGTCAATATCTGTAATTTGTGTTTCTAATTCGTATGAAACTATAGATTTAGTATTTTGACTTCACCTACATCTAATCTGAACCAGTGCTGCATTCAACATACCATATGACACACAAAAATTGATGTTTATATGTATTTTTTTTTATTTACTTTTAAATTATTAAATTGAGTAATGTACAGTTCTAAAATTTGAATTATGATCTACAGTTTGATACCAAACTTATAGTAGTTCAATAAAATGTTGAATGCGAGTCAACATATGAGATGACATGGCCTTTCACCTGATAATCTTTATAACATAAGGAATCTTGTCAAGAAAAAGTTTCTTTTATTTTTTATGAATAATTCAGTTGCATTGACAGAGATAATTAGATATTGTTTGCAAAACAGAATGATATGGGAGGGGTGTGTCGTGTGTACTTGATATTTTTCTGTTATATATTAGTAAAGAAAGAAGATTGGAGGTTCTAACAATATTTCCTTATACAGTAAGGTATTAAAACCTTCATTGTGTTAAAATGGAAATTATACCTAGTTTTTAATGCCAAGTTTTTTTACAAACAATGATAATAAAATTTATTAAGTTGTGAATGTAACTTTGAAAGATCATGACATGCACACTTTGACTCTGTAATACACGTAGTGTTGAAACATTAAGTTAGCTCTGTGAATGTGAAGGGAGACGATTAAAAATAACTTTTTTGCGCATCTTAGTCTGTTTCTATAATGCGAGTTTCTTGCTTGACAAAAATGTCTTATTATTTTTTTAATTTATAGGTCACGTTTGTACTTGCTTTGGACAATGACTAGCATTTCACACTTATCTTAAACCTTGTTAATAGAACAAATTACAGAGGTACCATGCTTTTAAATTGCTATATAGAAGGGAACAACTTTCTTAATGTATCCTCATAGATTTCATTTTAAGGTTAATACATCTGCATCTAATTTCCTTATAGCAATTACTTTTGCTAACCTATTCACATTGGACTCCTGTATTTTACACTAATTCATAACCACCATGAAGGTATACAAACTATAATTCTGAAAGTAATTATTATATCTTCAGAAAATTTGACAGTCTTTTAGTAAACATTAGAAGTCTTTTATAAAAAAGAATAATATTTTTTTTTTATACAAGTATTTTTCACTAAAAATGTGCATGTGAATATAAGAGGTTACAGTGTTTACTGCTCCAAGTGCAAAGTGATCTTTATGATAAGATTAAAAATATTTTTATTTGTCTGAAAATTTTTGAAATTCCATTTGCATAATCTCTAAACCTCCTAAAGAAATATCAAACTTGAATCTAGTTCATAAAATAAATTTAATTAAATGTATTTTAATTTAACTATTTCATTTGTGCCACATTTTTTTCATTTCTCTTGTTATACTTTGTATATTCAAATTGTTTCATTCTTATGTATATCATATTTCTGTTGTAATTACAAATGTTTTGTTTTGTACCTCTAGATTACTGATGATGGAATTTTGAAGATTTCAAAATGTTTAATAAATGCTTTCTATAATTACGTTTGTGTTTTGCTTTATCATTAAATTGTTTTCTGAAAATGAGTCTAGCTCTCCTCGTGAATAATTTTTATTACTATTGTTATTTTTTCGTTATCTTACCTTGTCTAACCTAACAAGTTTCTAATTGTTGTTTTAGTTACTTTTATAATAGTTAGATAAATAATGCACATGAAAACGAAGAAATGTAGGACTTACCTAGGTTTTTTTTTGGTTTTTTTGCTGGCAACAAAATTTATGCCTACTTTTTTATACTAATAGTAGTACTATATTAAATAATTTTTTATTTAATTAAATAATGCACCTATTAACACAGAATAATAACATGCAAAAGGCAAACAATATCCTATAAATATCATAATTGTTCTGGCTTTGTAACTCTATAATAAGAATCTTTAAAAATTCAGCTAAATTTGTCGATGTGATTCCCATAAGAAAAAAAATTCAAATTGAATGAAAAAACAGACAATTCCCTGTACAGAAAACAATGTCATTTATTAGATTAAAACTTTAGCTTTTTATTAGTTATAAATAATATAGCATATAACATCAGAGAGAACTATTGGCAATTTGTGAAAGTAAGGATGTGGCAAGTGGGTCTGATTTTTCACTTTATGGCTTTAAATAAGATTCAAGGCTATTAAAATTATACTTTGTCTAAATAATATCCATATTATAATAAATAATATATGTTGCAATTCTGTACTTATAAGAGCAATGATAAATAAATGAGAGGAGAGGGAAGACCAAGAGAGCAAATGTCACAATTCTCATACTAGGGGAAATTAAGGATGTTTAAAAATATTGTCTTATAAAATTAAGGACTTAAAACTTTTAATAAAATTTGATTTATTAACTATGTCATGATGCAAAGTGTATTTGTATGCATTGATAATAAAGTGGTTTAATTGAATTTTGAATCAACTCTGTAAAAGGTTGTGATGTGCATGTTTATCTACCTGTTACCAAAGGGTTAATGATAGTGAAGGGAGAGCAGAATTAGGTAAATGCTATTATTGTAACATCACAGTTTAGAAAAAGATAATAAGTAATCAATGATGAAATGAAAAATAATGTTTAGTCCCTACCCTATAAATATGATTTGTAAATTACTTAAATAAAATTGGTAATAACTTCAAATCATTTGCTTAATCTGATTTGTGCCATAAGTTATTGTTCATGAAAAATTCATGATATATATAGTGTCTAGACCACCACTGTCATATCCCAGCTGCATTATAGCTTTATTTGAATATGCATAAATGAGAAAAAAGAAAGGTGAAATTGAATTTAATTATAACTTTTTGCTTTTTTCTACATAAGAGGAACAGGTAAAAATAAAAGAATGTTAATCAAAGAATTTATGTGTAAACATTCTAGATGCTACAGAGATACACTTCAAAGTTTTAAAAAAACCTGAGTAAGCTACTACTCATGTCTTTATCAGCTACAAATATTTTAAACATAATGGACATTGGGGATATTCTGATGATTAAAAAGTTACTGATAAAGGGGGGGATTCCCAGATTTTAAAAAACTTTAGTATATATATTCTCAATGTTGTTACTTTCTGCTTCTCCCCTAAAATCATGAGTAAATCCCCAGATAGTTGTGTTGAAGATACCATAACAGCAAAACTGGGAGTGTTAAAATACTTGCTTTTGTAAGGTGGTATTGTTAAAATGTTTTTTTTTTGTATCTTTAAAATCTTATCTTTTAGCAACAGAAATCTTAAAGTGTATTCCACTAACTTTCCCTTTATATGAGAAGAATGATAAAGTATTTAAGATGTTGAAAGATCTGAAATGTATGTATTGTTCAAAATTATTAGTTTTATGGTATGAAGTTTTTCATTTAAGTTATTGTAGATTAAGTACAGAAATGGGTGATTTTAAAAAGCTAATATGTAATATTTGTGCTTTTAGTTTTGTAAACAACTGTGTATAATTCTTCTGAATTGTGTGAAATAGGGTAATAGTGTACATGAGTATATTTCAATTTTACAGATTATAACATTGTCAAGCTTTGGGATATTGAAAATGAACTTCCTGAAGAACTTTCTGATAAGTTGGAATCTGATATGAGTCCCCAACTCTCTACTACTGTTTCTGGTCAAAGTATGCAAAATGGTGCAATTGACTCATCAGGTTGTCAAGTTGAAGGTGCTGGAGGAAACAGCATTGTTGCTCAACGACATCAACAGCTTTCACAGTTTTTACAAAATAAAGCCAACCAAAGTCAGAGTAATATAAGGAATTTTCAGAGTCATGTTGGCATACCTGTTGTCAGCCAAACCATTCCCAATTCTAATATACCTTTACATAATGTTAATATGACCAGTTTAAAAAATATTCAAACGAATAACCTTTCTACTTTGACTGCCAACAAAGGGGGAACAAGTGTGTCTAGTGTACCTCACAATATAATTGTAAGTAATGATAGTATGACAAGCATAGCTAATAGTTTAGTAAATAGTAATTTGAATAGTGGATCAAATGCTGTTGGTTTGGTTGGGGGTATTTCCTTAGGTAAAACAGGATCACTAAGTTCACAGGGCAAGTTACTTACCACAGTTACCTCTGCGAACTCTACAGGCACTTTGCCATTGCAACTACAACAGACTCCTCAACCAAGACTTCCTCAAGCTCAGCAATATGTCATAGGTACCACACGAATCATGAATGGTCCTCGTATCCCTCTGAATAATATAGGTAGTGCAAGAATGTCAAGGAGTGTTGCTCCAGACATGGCCCAGACAGCGACTCACAGTAATATTTTGGCAAATGTACCTTCACATCATACAACCCAGCAAAATTCTCTAGGTCATCATCTTGGAAACACATCTAATACCACATCTATGATGAAGGTAAGGTTCTAGATATTTATTTCTGTAAATTTTCAAATACCTAATTGACAAAGTTTAGATGAAGTGTAGAGGTTTATTCGATTCAAGTTCATGCTAACTGCACGTGTTTGCAGGAATGGAGCAGTATTCTGACCTGCATCTGCTTTAATAAAGTTATGGAGTCAAGTCTTCAGTGTTTTCAAACATGTCTTAATATGAAGTTTAAAATTAATTTTTTATCTGCTCCATTGAATTAAAAAAATAATATAAAACATACTTGTAGCTGTTCTTTTACATTTTTTAGATGTGTCAGAGTTGAAATTGATTCAATAGAATAGTTTTATTTATATAACTTTATCTGTAAAATGTTTAAGAAATTAAAAATCTAGATTGAATTGATTTCAGCATGCTTCAAATGAAAACATTAATGTTTATGAATGTTTTAAATTTTTTTGTTAGCATACTACAGCCTTCATAGCTGCCTAGAAGGAAAGTCAAAATAATTTTTATCAAAACAGAGCCAATAAAGTGTGGTTTTATTTTAGCTAAACATTGTTTCTCAACCTAGATTGTTATGGTTTAATGTAATTGCCTGCTTCTCAGTTGTGAGGGGTCTGGGTTAGTGATATAAAAATGTAATGAAAGCTCTCTTTCCTGTTCTTTTCAAATGTGTAAGCCTGTATGACTCAGTACATCAGAGACCTTTGTAGAGATAAGAACAAAATTAAAAAAGTTAGATGGTATGTTGCTAGAAGAAAAGAGGTTTGTAAACAACTTCAAGCACAATTACAGTCCTGGTTTTTCTTTTAAAACATACATTACCAATTTATACTTAACTTGAAGTTGCAGTATGATAAAAAAATATTTTGTGGAACAAGATAAGTTAGATTTAGTTATATCAGTTTGCACCTGACTATATCAAGTTTTGTTTTGCAGACAAGACTTCTTTTCATTAGTCTGTTTTAGATTAGGCCTTGTTAACAATACTAATTGTTTGAATGGGAAAAGAAAATTCTGAAACATTACCTTGCCTCCTCTCACATAAATAGCTATTCTTGTTCAGTGCTGCTCTCTATGTGCAAAAAAATGTTTTACGCATGCTGCAAGCCTTTTATCTCTCCTCCATTGGAACTGACTGATTCCAATGCATATAATTATGCATCAACCCTTCACCAATAAGAGTGCAACATACTCTCATGATGCATGTGACTCCCTCCATTCAATTCTACTGAACTATCACTTCTCATTTGGCAGTACTCATGTTCAGACGTTGTTTTTTTTTTTTTTGTACTCTGTGTGTCAGTCGTTTTCGTGATCTTATTAGTTTACTTTACAAAGTGGGATTTTTTCTTTACATTAAAGAAATCTTTTACTTTAACTTAATTTCCCAGTCTTTATTTTTTTTTTTCACACTCCTATATTTTACATCAAACACTTGTTTGATTTATGTATTTTTACAATGAATTTTGAGGTTCTTGTTTCCACTTTTGGTGTTATACCTGTAGCACTATTTTCACAGGCTGTAGGTGGGAGAGACCTGTTGTTGGATTTCTCTACTATTATCTGCCGTGATAGTTATATAGGTCAACCTTTTTCTCCCAAACTTGGCTCACTATTCCCCCTTGAACAAGCTGAACCTGGTTGGGCTGATAAAGATTTCTTAGCCTTTTTACACCACCGGATGTTGCCCTGTCTTTCCCTACCCCTCCTGCAGGCCCAATACAACATTTTTCGACATCATTTCTCAGGTATGTTTTATCCATTTCTCTGTTTTTTATGATTCCTTACTACCTCCATGTTGGCTCTTTTGTCATCTTTGGCTCTTGCCTTACACACATGGTTTTACTGTTGTTGGTCTCTTCTTGATTCTGATGCGACCATGTTCTTACTTCATTTGCCACTTCTTTCTTTTAGGGATTTACATGTGGCCCTTTTTTCTTTGGCGATATGTTTTCAGTCATGTGACTGAGACTTTGGAATCATGTGTAATCTTTGTATCAACACTCTACCCTTTCCTCTTTGGTTGCACGTTTACTGCAGTTGGAGCCACAACAAGCCCCTATTCCTTTACCATTCTGGTCCTTATCTACCTTCCCTGTACCTTCTTCCAGGAGTTTTTCATCTCATCCTTTTATTCAACGTAGATGTGCATGTTGCTAACAGTACCAGAAACTAATGCTTGACTGTATGATTTTATTGACTTTTGATGATCTTTCACTACAAATCCATAGGTTCTTTGGGTTTTATCAGAGGAACTTGCCCTGCCCCACCTCCTTTGTCTCACCCTTTTCCTTTCCCATGACTTTGTATCCTGCCACCAGCCCAACGTCTGTCCAAGGTGGTACAAAATTTTCAGTCTCAACAGGTCATTGTACATGTTCATCATCTTTCTTCAGGCTGTTTGTTGTCCTCACGAAAAACTGGAGACTGTACTAAGTTTGTCCCACCTCATTCTCATTTTAAATGTGCCTTGTTTTACCTTGGAGTCATTTCTCACTCTTAGGTGGGCTTTTTCTCCAGGTTTATAGATAAACCAAGAGGAATGTCACGATTGCTTATTTGCATATCCCGATATCTTGTCACATATGGCCCTCTCTTTGGTTTGTTCTCTACGGAGTGATTTATCTGTTTTTCACACTGGCCTTTGGACTTGTTTGGGCCTTGTATGTTTTGTCAGGTGGTCAGAGCATTCGTTTGAGTTGTGCTTTCCTCTTACTTTGGAAGACTGGCTACTGTTGGCTTGTTCCGAACATGAATCTGCCTGTTACCCTTATCAGCTGCTCCTGAAGGTGGCTATAGTGGGCTGGTTAATCAAGTTGGAGGAGTCCTTACTGCAACCTATCCAATATTTTGTCCATTTGGGTGTTTTTCCTTTTCAACACCTATCTCAGTCAGGCCCACCCTTCTCCTCTTCGACTTTGTTTGATGGTTTTTCAGTTCTGTTACAGCTTGCGAGGTTCTATTGCTTTTGAGGATGTGATCTTCCATGGTAGCCTTTATCCACTTTGGCTCATATGCAGGCGATTATACATGACTCGCATGTCACCAGGGTCTCACTTCCTCGTCTGGATTTACACACTTCATGTAAATTGATCAACAGTAAGCTTCTGGGTTTTGGTCTGTGGCCGAGAGGTCTTATCATATCAACATCCTTGAGCTTCTCGCTTTAAGTTTAGTTTTGGTTCATGTATTCTTCTTCTGGCCAGAAATCGTCTGGTAATGATAAATTCGGACTTTTCTTAAGTGACTGCTTATCTTAATCATCAGAACGGTTCACATTCTCGATCCCTCTGTATTCATAAGTTGGATCTTCTATTTGGGCCCACACGCACGATATTCGTATCATTGCATGTCATGTTCTGGGTGCTTTTGCTCTTGTCATGGATCGGATTCCCATCCATACAAATCTATCCAACAGAGTGGTCCCTCGATCCTCTTGTTTTCCAGTGGCTTTGACTTCAGTGGGGTACTCCTCACATTGAAGTTTTTGCTAAGTCCCTTAACCACAAATTGCCTTGGTTTTGGTCTCCAGTCCCTGTGGGGGCTTGCTTGACTGATTTTGTTCTCCTTTGGTGATTTTTGCCACAGATCTGTGGGTTATTCAGGTATTATACGAGGGACTTGTCATCCATTTCCTTTCCCCTCCTTCATTATCTTGGATATCTGTTTCCTTTCCATTGCCTCAGGATCCTACTACCAGTCAACTGCTGTCCATGGTGATACAATATCTTTTCTCCCAATAGGCCATTGTACCTGTCATTCATCATTCTCCGGGTTTTATTCCAGGCCATTTATGGTACCCAAGAAAACTGAAGACTGGTACCCTGTGATCGGTTTGTCCCACCTCAATCTCTTCTTGGTTCTACCCCGATTTACCATGGAGTCTTTTCACACCCTCAGTCGAGATGCTATCTTCAATTCATTCATCACAGGGTAGTTTATCAATTTTGTGCCCTACCCTTCAGGCTTGCTTTGGCCCCATATGTTTTTGTCAGGTGTTCAAGGCTTTCGCCCAGTATTTGCATGCTCAAGGGTTGCGCCTCCATCATTACATGGGCAACTGGTTTCTGTTAGCTTCTTCCGAACAAGAGTCTACCTATCAAACTCATCTGCTGCTCGTGGAGGCAGCTCGTGTGGGTTGGTTAATCAAATTGGAGGAGTCATTCCTCATACCTACCCAATATCTTGTCCATTGGGGTGTATTTTTAAACATTCATCTTAGTCAGGTCCAACCTTCTCCTCTTTGACTTTGTTTGATGGAGCCTTCATTTCTCCACACCCTCAATGCTCCCTCTATCATAGCTCATGAGGTTCTATCACTTTTGGGAATGTGGTCTACCATGGAAGCCTTTGTCCCTTAGGGTCAACTGCATATGAGGTATTTTCAGTGGACTGTACGACCAATGGAATCTTGTGCAGGATCCACTGGAGGCTCCTATTTCCCATTCTCCTTCCCTTGTAGGTGATCTGCATTGGTAGTTGAACAAGGCTCGCACATTGGCAGGTGTTCTGCTTCCTCCCCCTTGTCCAGATTTACATATCTTCATCGACACTTCCCTTCAGGGCTGAAGAGGTGTGGGTTGATCAGCAGGAAGCTTCAGTTCGGTGGTCTCCAGCCTAAAGATCTTACAATATCAATGTCATGCCTTGGATCATTTTCTTCATCTTGCCAGGAATCATCTGGTCAGGATCCATTCCAACAATTCTACAGTGGTGGCTTATCTCAATCACCAAAGTGATACCCATTCTCATTCACTTTGTGGTCGGATTTTGGATCTTTTAGGGGGGCACACGTTTGGTATTCATATAATTGAGTGTCATGTTGTGGATCGTCTTTCCCGTCTCTCTTCTTTTGTTTTCCACTGGCTATGACTTCAGTGGGGTACTCCTCACCTGGATGCATTTGCCACATCTCTCAATATCAAATTACCTCTGATTTGCTCTCCAGTTCCTTATTCTCTTGCTCTGGATATCGATGCATTCAGTGATAATTGAACCAACAGGTACCTGTATCTTTATCCTCCCATCTGTTTTCTTCACAGGGTGATCTTAATCACCCACACAACTCTGTGTGAAATCTTTCTGATTGATCTGCACTGGCTGGCACAACCACAACCACCTCAGTTACATCTTCCTCTTACTTCATCCCTTATACGTCAACCTCGGTAACTGACGTTTCACCAAGCCCTACATATCCCCTGTCTTCATGCCTAGTTTTTATCTAGTCCTTGGTGAGGAGGTCCAGTTTGTCCTGGTGGGTCACTTCTTTTTTAAGCTTGTTCCAGTTGCCCTTCCTTTAGTTCAGGGGTTTTCTCCTGCTTGATCCACTGTTCCTCATATTACAAATTTCCTCACTTGGTTGTTTGATCAGAGGTCTTCTGTCTCCTCAATTGCGGGTTATTGGGCTGCCCAATCCCACACTTTTAGTTTTTTCAGGTACTGTAAAGTCTTTACTTCTCCTACCCATTCCCTCTTGTTGTGTTCCTTCCAGATTAGTGATCCACCTCAGCATGCAGTCTTTCTGGGTTGAGATGTTCAATGAGTTTCAACACTGCCTCCATTTGAACCTCTGTCCTCATGCTTGATTTTTCACTTATCTGTTAAGACTTGTTTCGTTCTATTAGTCTGTGGACATTGTGGGTCAGATTTATTTGCCATTGACATTTCATTTGCACTAAATCATTCCACATATATTCTCCTTTATCCGGATTGATCTTTCCTTCCTAAAACTTCAGCGAATCAGGAGGGTAATTCCTCCTTCTCACCAATTTCCCACCTTTGTCCTTGGTCGGATCCAGATAGGCTATTATTTCCTGCCCGTGCTCTTTGTTGTTACGTTCCTGCACAGCTTCTTTCCATTGTGCCTGTTCCCACCTATTCATTCCTTGGCAAACATCCTCTATTTGTGACCTTTCTTCTTTTACCCTGACCAAATTGGTTTGGCTTTTAAATCAGTTGGTTTATTCTTCCTTATTGTCTTGTTCCCGTTATTTGTTCAAGGTGTCTTCTCATTAGATTAGCCACCTTATGTTTTCTCTGGCATCACATATCTGTTGTCCCTTGGAGAAAATTTTTCAATCGGGCATGTGGACTACCCCACATACGTTCATATCTCACTATCTGCATCGGATTGCTGTGCCTTCTTCATCAGGTTATCATAAGCATTCTTCACACTTTGGTAAGACTGTGACTAGGTAAGTTATCTTTTATATATAATATGTATATATATATATATCTTCTTTTTCAGAGGCTTTTCCATTTTCTTTTACTGTTTCGATCCCACTCTGTGGCAAGTAGTGCCTGACCAGATATGCTTCTCATAGTCAAATCTCCACTGTCAGGCCATGTTGACTGCTTATTTCTAATTTCCATGGCCATAACACGCTCACTGTTCAGATTGGGTGTTCCACAAGATTGCTTGTAGGTTTATTCTCACAATATATTTGCTTCATTAATATGCCGGTTCCAGACCATGCTCACACATGGACTTGATGGATAAAGCAGAAAGGGATAGCTGCCCATCCCTGCCATGCCTTTGATTCAATAGAGATGGTCTGATTTTCAAAATAGGGTTTTCTTGGTCACCTGTTGCACTATCTTTGGTGGTGCTATTCCTCTGGACTCTTCACTGCATTTTCTCTCCACCTTTTTCTTCCAGTGGAGTATGGGAGTCCTTACTTGTGATAATGATAGACAATACCTATAATGATAAAACCATTCAGTTGAGAGTAGGTTGGTGGTATTCTGCTGGTGTAGATGATATGTCCTCCAGTCTGATGCTCCATCTCTATTTGTATAACCAAGGGGATGTTGGTAGCTTTGGAGTGAGTCATCAACATTGCAGTTCACCCCTTCAATTGGGATTCCTTATCCTACTCCCATGTGGATATCGGCTCCCAGTGTGTAGGTTTTGGATTCATAGCTGAATTCCTTACTGAAGTCCTCACATCTATTATAGGTGTGTCTGTTTCCTCACTCAGTTACACTCTTGTTCTTCTATCCATGTTGTAGGTCATGGTTGTGGTACTTGCTGATCACTATGGTTTTTCATCTTACACTATCCCTCGAGGATGTTATTGTGCTAGAGGCAGTTTCTGTTGGATTGGTTTTGAGTGAGATACCATACATTACAGAGACATCTTTACTATACCGATTGTCCAGATGTTGGGTTCCTGGATTGGTCAAACATTTTATGACATTGCTATCACGTGTACCGTTTATAGATCCGGGGGGGGGGGGGGGTACAAGATTGCCTCCAGTGTGCTGAGCTTGAGGTGAAGATGGTATGGTCCTCTTTCCTACCCCCACCAGATGTCTGAGTTTTGGATTGTAGTTTACTTGCCAGCAGTATGATCCTCTTTCCTACCCCTGGTGGCTAGGTTTTTGATTGTAGTCGACTTGTCATGTACAGTCCATCACGCCCTAGCCACTCTACACCTAGGGTTACATCCTTTTACTTTCACCCACATTCCAATACTCTGTGAGATTGAGATTTGTTATATGGTGGTTCTCTCTCCCATAGGGATGTGCTCCTTCCTTTTTTCCACCCATGTCTGTGAAACCTCATTCCACACTGGACGAAGAGTATACCTGGCACAGATGTGGTGCAGTCTTCCATGTATGATTCTCTAATGTGAGAATCTTTTCTTTTAGGGTGTTCTTCAGATGCTTTCAAGGAATGCTGCTTTCTTTTTTTCCTTGCACTGGTCCATCCACCTATTGAGTGTGGGATTCTAGCTATTTACATGAGTGGAGGTAATGTACCCTATCGGAAGTTATAGTTTTCCTATACGGAAAATATATTTCTGATAGGTACTTGCCTCTTCTCACACTTCCTACCCACTGAAAACTGGTGCTTCCATTTTCTGCCAAAACTCAAAGTTGAAAAGGGCTCTTTTCTATCTATCTTTAATTTGATTATCAATTTGAGAGATGTAGTTGAACTATTTGATTATAAGTTATGTGGAAGCTCAAGACTTGTGCCATGTAGAGGGCAGCACTGAACAAGAATATTCATTTATATGAGAGGGGGTAAGTATTGATCGGAAATATATTTTCATTATAGGAAAATTATAACTTTTGTGTAATTGCATCTTGATATGGAGTGTCTTCCCTTTCCCTTATTTTGTGTACAAACAACAAAAGACATAATAATGGAACATAAACTTGAATAAATGCAAATCGTATGTAGATTATGTTTCTGTACTTGATTTAGATTTTTGTTTTTTCCAGAAATTTCATTAAAATTTTATTAAATATTTGTTGTTTCTAACCAATCAAAGCTTATCGAGATCATGTAGTACAACACATAGATTGACCAGTATTCTAAATGAAAAAATCTTGGTTGTTTCCAATATCAACTTTCTTAAAAGTTATATATTCTTAAGTTCTAAAATACCATTCTTATCCACCTAGGGTATATTGAGGTTGTTAAGTACTGCACATGTACATAGACCAAGCACTACTTTATGTTTCAGTGTGTTAGTTTAACACACACAAAATATTGTACATAATTTTCTTTAGTCTGGTACATTAACAGTACATGAAATCATTAATGCAAGGATTTTGGAATAAAAGTACAAGAAACTAAGTTTTCCTGCAATATAACAAATGATACATGGACTTTTTTCTTTTCTCATCTGAGTCTGCTAAAACATAAAATTTCATCCTTACAACATGCCACAAATATGTGTCATTGTTTAATAGCAGTTAGATCACGTTGTAACTTATTGTTTGAACAAGCAAAAACTGTGTGAGTGTGGACACTTTAGGATGTAATTGGCAAGGTAAAGTTTTAAAGAAGTATGTATATATATATATATATATATATATGTGTATATATATATATATATATCATAAACCTAGTGTTTTCAAGACTTTATGTATGACTTTGGTAGCTTTGCTTGTTAAACATCAAAAGCAAATTAGTTAAAAGGGCTTATTAATTGTGTTTACAGAATTGTAAACAATTATTTTGTGTAACGTGAAGAAAAAATCATGTTAAAACTTTTTGAAAGGTGATGTGTTTGGTGATTTCCACAGTAGAATTATAAATGAAATGCTAAATGTATTGAGTAGTGATGAAGTTCTAAAGTTTCATATTCCCAGGTAACCAGTAGTGGTGGTTTTTACCAAATCTATGACAACAGTCGCAATACACAAGAAAATAATTTTAACTGTGGCATAGTTTATTCATAGGTTGAAATGAATGTGTACTTAAGTCTATTGTAAGAAAAGAAAGAGATTTAATTTTAAGCATGCGATATCTAAAAATAGAAAATACTTCATTATTTTTAAAGTTGCATATTTTCTTATGTAGAGGATTAATGTGAGTTTTACCACTAAGTGGCTGTGGACTCATAAAAGAACATATTTCTAGGAAGTCTAAAAGCTCATCAAGCATTGCATGCCATGTTTTAACAAAAAGTAATAATCTTATCATTTATTAGAATTTTGTGATAATCAGCTAAGCTTAGGATGAAGAGCAATTGAGAATTTGAGAAAGTGACAATTGCTGGTCTGAGGCCTATATTGAACCAACATAATTTTAAAACATCACTTCTCAAATTATAAGATTAAAGTATAAATTAAGTAACAATTTTTTTATCAGTACATGCTTACATTCAAAACATAGTTATAAAATGGTTTATTAATTTCTAATTTATCAAATGAAAATTTTTTTTGAAAATGAATTTAATTGTATTCTATTTTATATAAAATGTTTGTTTTTTTTTAATCTTGTTTAAACAGTGAACTTTAATGTTTTTAGATTAAAATCATACTTCATGTTTTTCTAAACATTTTATCAGCATGGCCAGCCACAACAACAAGCAGTATTGTCTGGAAATATTATTGGGTCTCAGACTCCAGCACATGGATCATCTACAAATACTCTTTCTATGCCAACAGTCACAACTTCAAATGTCAGTTCTCAAAGTGGAGGGACTCATACTACTGATCCAGAAAAGCGTAAACTGATTCAACAGCAATTAGTGTTGCTTCTTCATGCTCATAAATGTCAGAGGCGTGAAAATCAAGCTAATGGGGAAATACACCAGTGTTCTCTTCCTCATTGTCGAACCATGAAACATGTATTGAACCACATGACAACTTGCCAAGCTGGAAAAACATGCCCTATTCCCCATTGTGCATCATCCCGACAAATTATTTCTCACTGGAAGAACTGCACTAGGAACGACTGTCCTGTATGTTTACCATTAAAGCAGGCTTCAGACAGAAAACAACAACCTTGTAAGTTTGAAATTGAAATATTAGCATTTATAAACTAAATGTAGAAGTTCAAAAATATACCATATGTAAGCATTGCTTAATAATTTGAAATTAAGTATATATATATGAATGTAGCTATGTGTGTTTAATATTTCTAGAGAAAAATGTAAACCACTTTCAAACTTTTCACTGTAGCCTTATTAATATAAATTTTTTCTATTTTATTGTTATTAGTGTATAAACCTGTGCCAACTGAACTGTCAATAGTCACACTAAAGTCAGAAAGGGAATATTCTGTAACAGCTTATTTGTAACAAAACATGTTTTAAGAATCTAAACTAAAAGAAATTAATATAAATGTGTTGTAAAGTTATTCAAAAAATAAGTGTAATATTAAAAATAAAAGTACGTTAGTACCACATTGAGTCCTTAATGGGGGCACATGTACTTCCTTTAACGTTTGTAGACTTACATTCGAAATTTTAGTGTTATACATTGTTCAATTTCTTAATTTAAAAGTAAACATGAAAAAATAATTTATAAATATCTTTTATGATGCTCACGATACAACGTTTATAGTTTCTTATAAATTAGAAACTCAAATTACCGATATTGACAAGCTAGTATTTAAACTAAGAACCTCCTATCTTTTCTAATTGCTGAGATATCATTATATTTAGTGAATCCACCACAGTGGCTCCACCCACTTCTTTCTCTTTTGGAAATACATGTTTATAACCAATTGAAACTGCTCATTTTGAGCTACGTAATTCTGCGAATCTTCCTAAAGTATTTATATGAATGAGTAAAATTGTCATTACTGTTGAAAGTTTGAAGAGTTGTGACAAGGTGAAATGGTGATCAGAAATAAGATTTTTTTAACCAAAATGCAGCCTCATAAATTACAGTCAAATTTGTTGTATCAGTAAAGTAATTTATAACTTTTTGTTATTTCAAAAAGCATAAATAAAACCTACAGAAATATTCGACTAGGCTTAGCAAGTATGACATGCGAGTACAAAAACTTTGTAACATTGTTAGTAGGAGAGATAATTTTTCCTATGTATTTTTTACTTATTGTTCTAGGTTTTAAGAAAAATAACTGAAATTTAAGAATTTATTTGTAATTAGTAATATTATGTAAATAATATATACATTTGTATGATAACTGAAATGTGATTCTATTTTACAAAATACTGATACTATAGTACAAAGCTAAGACATTTGTACTTTGTAAAGGCCAGTTTTATGCTATTTGATATGGTAACCTGAGCTGCACCTATGCCCCATGGTTTACAACTTGTGTGACACCATTATTAGTTAGACACATTTCAAATGTCAATAAAACAAAAACATTGATAAATATAAATGTACCATTACTAGATTTAAGCTATTTAGAATAAACATTTGTGGTTTCCTGTTACAATTTGCAGTTATTCTAGAATGAAAAAAGTGTAATTTAGATTTATTTCCTAATTTTTATGGTGGTTATTTGGTCAGTCAAGTTGACCAACCATGTATAGTGTTAAGATAGAGAAAATGACAAATAAAATATAAAGTTGTTCTAAAACAAACATTTGATCTCATTTAGTCCCTTCTGTTTGTTATCTACACCTCCTACAGGGCTTAGTCTGACCCCATATTGACAGGCTTCAATGATTGCTACTTCCATTCTTCTTCAAGAGTCATCTAGCCTGTGCTGGCTGGTCTACTTTCTAAATCTGTTTTGAATCCCACGTATCCACCAGGGAGTTTTCCTCGTTTCCTGTATATGGTGAGCTCAACCCCCCTCTCTTGTATCTTTGTACCATGGTAATCTTGGCCTTCAAGGTACTTCTCTCTCTCTCTCTCTTTATCTTCCTGCATGAGAGGTTCCATCACTTTTGGAGACTCTTGCACTTGTTTGGTAACCTGATCCCATTTGGTTGGGAGTGCATTGATCCCCTTGAATAGGCTGTGGGAGTTCAATGGAACATGTTCTGTGATATTCACTTTTCATCCCTTACATCTCCATCTTCCTCTCTGCACTTCTCTTTGCCATTGTGGCTCAATTGTTAACACCCCCAGCCCTACTTGCATCTCTACACTGGTACCTCCAGAGGAGTGTTCTCTGCATGTCATATTTTGTGTGATGACTGAGGCTAACTGGGCTTGCCAGCTTCTTCAGTCTCTGTTGTTTGTCAGAACATCTTGTGTTCATCTACTCAGACAACTTTATAGTCATGTTTTCTCACTCTAGAAATACTTTATTGAGTCTACAATCATCATATTCCCCTTGTGGCATGTTGTTTTCCAGGGCTTTTTTATTTGGTGGCAGATTGCTTGTCTCAACTGGACAGAATCCATACCAAGCTAATCAGTCCACTCTATTTCTCTGTGCCTATTTCCTTCCTGTTCTCATGGACCTTTTTGATGCATTTTCTTTCATCACACCCTTATCCAATCCCTCTTCCTGTCTGAGATCTTTGTGCGATATTTTCTATATTAGGGTCTGGTTGATATTGTTTCTAGACTGCTCTTTTCTTTGAACAAATTGAGATGCCCAGGAGAGCAATTGGATGTTTTCTGTTTCTCTCCCATCTATTTCTTTGTACAATCATGCAGATCCTGATCATCTTTTGTGGTTTGTGTAGGCTATCCATTGCTATACTTCTAAGATTCCCCCCTTTTGTGGAATTGGTTGTGTTCACCAGCTTATCTATCTCACATATTCTTCTTTGGGTGAGTCTTCCTGTATAATCTTTTGCGTCTTCTCCCATCACATTTGGTCATATCACAGCCTCTGTTGTTTCCTTTCAACATCAGCCTTTGGAGGAGATCTTATAGGTTGGTATGTGGATTACTCCTAACACATTCATCTCTTATTACTTACATCTTGAGCAGCTTGATGTGCCTTTGGTTTTACCTACATCTAGTGTGGTGAGTTTTGAGTTTTGTCTGTTGAGTTTTAAGTCATCTCCATTTTTTTGTATATGTACTAACACAATGCAAATTGATTACCAAAGACAAAAAGGAGAAGACAGTGCACACCAAATTGAATATAACATGAGGAAATAATGATTACATTTCTTATGTTTGGTTTCAACAAATCCTGCAGAGTGGTTGTCATTGGGAAGATAAAGATTCTCCCATACTCCACTAGAAGAACAAGGAAAAGAGGAATGTGTTTTGGGAAGAACATCAAACAAAATGATCTAGAATTGGATCCCAACCAAGATACAGTATAATAGGTTACTAAGACTAAAGACAGTAAGCACAAGACAAGTGTAAGGGTAGGACTATGCCTTGTGCAGTTAGGTTTCTTAGGTTTTCTAAAAGATGCAGAAATGACCATGTCAACTGTATAGATACACTGCCAAAGCAGTCTTGCAGAAAAATCCCAACTCAACAGTAGGTACTAAGCAAGGGCAGATCAGTTTAATACACCCTCCCCCAATGCAGATGTCGAGTAAATGTTCCCTCCCTTGTGAGGCAATTCCTAAACACTGGGGATGTCGATATGGAGTTTCCTCTACGAGTAGTGCAATTTCCCAGGTAAGAGACCAATTGGGCCCACCCATCATTTGAGATGTATAGCTGGGGTGTTACCTGGAACTGTAGTACAAAATACTCCATTACAATATCCCCCCTAGTAGTTCCAGTTGGATATGTCCAAGTAGATGGGGTTTGGAGTTGCCTTGTAATGTAGCTGAGGGCTCCTCCTCCTCCCTCCACAATATCCATCTTTTGTATGTATTTCACCACGATCTACTGCCAAAAGCCCTAGCTACACTACATATTCTAATGTTCTGCCCACACCCTACCACTAACTAAATTTTTCTGATTTCCTTTGTTTTACCCTCTCTGTAATGAAAGTACCAAATGTATAAATCAGTAACAACAAATTGTGTGAAGAGTATTCTCTGCTTGAGAAGAATGCTGCTGCACTAAGCAACCCCCATTCTCATAGATGTTACACCTCTATGGGCTTTCCTTTTCAGTCTATATTTCAGAAAGGAGCTCATTTTTCTAATTGGTTCAGTGTGACATTCCAACTCTTAGTGGTGAAGGGAGGTAAATAGCATTTTGAAGTTGACATTTTCTTACATGAAAACGTATTTTAGATCAATACTTACTTTTTTGCACCCTTCCTTCACACTTCCATTGCATTTCACTTGTAATATCAAATATGAGCCTGTAACTGTGTTATTGCTCATGGTGATTACTGTGTGTGGAGGTTGTGTTGCCCTCCTGTTGGTGAAGTGCTACACCATTATGATGATTAGATCATAAACTGGTGCAAGACACGTAGACATGTATAAGGGTGGGAGTTTGTTCAAGATAGTAGCCCTTAATAAGGCATAGAGGTAAGTATCTATCTGAAATACATTTCCAAGTAAGGAAGATGTTAACATTTGCCATTTGCAATTAATGTTTTGTTTTGGCAAAAGAAAAATACTTTGTTTGCCATTGTGGCTAATGGAAAAAAATATTGTTCAAATGTTTTGAAGGTAAGTTGTTTGAATTGTATAATATAATAATTTTACTTGTAATTGACATTGATAGTTATAGTTAAAGAACCTGGCCCTATACAAAATCTTACATTGACAAGTCAGCCAGCATATAGCCATGTTGATTAAGTTAAATAAATGAATAAAGTGAGGTGAGCAGCGTGGGCTTAAAGATGATGATCTACGAGAGTTTATTAAACAACAAGACCTTGAGAGAGAAGAGAAGAAGAAAGACTGAAAGGAGAGAAAAGAGAGACTGAAAGTAGAAGGAAAGAAGAAGAGCACAAATTGAGAAATAAGAAAAGGAGAAAGACCCAAATTTGAGAAACAGAAAGACGACATGGATGCTTTTCTGGGGAGATATGAAAGATTTGCTCAAAGTTGGAACTGGACAAAGGTGATAGGTAGTCTGTCTCAGCCCACTTCTGACAGGAAAAGGCCTACAAGTGTATGGAGACATGATGTCAGAAGATGCCATGGACAATGGCAAGTTAAAAGTGGTCTTGCTGAAATGCTATGAACTTACTGAAGAAGGTTTTTGTTGGAAGTTCAGAGAAGTCAAACCTGCCACTGGAGAAACTGTATTTCAGTTTGTGGCATATATAGGGCTATACTTCACCAGATGGATTGACATGGCCAAGTGTGAAAATAGTTTTGAGGGACTGGCAGATCTACTAATAAGTAAACAGTTCATAATAATGTGGATGGGATGATCAAGCTGGCAGAACAGTATATGGAAGCCCATGTATGGAGTATAATTGGCAAGTCCAACAATAACCAGTGAAAGTCAAAACCAGTGGTGGCTGACCAGAAACAGAATAATACCAAAGGTGACAAGTACTTAACAGATGAAAGAGAAAAGATATGCTTTGCTTGTTATAAAATCAGGCAATTTATGAATGAGTGCAAGTCTTTCACCAACAAACAGCAAAAATCTCAACATAAAGCAGATGTAGCTACCTACAAAGATTGTGCTAGCAGGAAACAAGTCAAGAGTGACTATCACCATTTATGCTGCTCCAAGAAGAAACAGAATAGAAACAACACATCAGACGCACCATAAGAAGGAAGTGCTGTCTTTAATACTAAAGAGTGTATGGCTGAGGGTCAGCTCAAGTTAGTAAATGGAACAACGGTGCTAGTAGTCATTGGATAATGTGACAAACATCAGGAGGTGCAAACAAACCACAAAATGCCAATTGTTAAAGGCTATGTCTGGGACAAGAAAGTGAAAGTCCTATGAGACACTGGGTGCAATAGTGCAGCAGTGAGAAATAGTCTAGTATCTGAAAACCAGATGACAGGCTAAGTGTGCCTGTGTGTGCTAATTGATGGGACAGTGAGAAAGTCTCCCATAGCAAGAATACAGGTGAATACATGGGAGACCATGAGGCTATGTGTATGAAGGCACCAATCTCCAACTTGGTGATTGGAAGTATACCAGGCAGTAGAAGTTTGGAGGAACCAGACAGAAAGAAGGCTGAAGCATCTGCAGTTACCACTAGAGCTCAAGAATAGAAAAGAGCAAGGCATCAAGCCTTTCAAATTTTGAAAATTGACTTTATAAATTTAGGTCTAGATGAACTGAAGGAAGCACAGAAGAAAGACCCTTCACTGCAGAGCTGTTATTTTTGGTGCTTTTTTTACCATGTATGCAGTGTACAATTCTGCATAAACATGACTTTTAGTCATAGTTACAGAAAGGGCAAGTTATATGATTACTCAATTACATATATAAACATCAGATAATGAAATAAATTATGAATGGGGAGTAATCTATTAATTATAGTTTCAATTCATCTTAATTTTTCATTTAATTGATTAATCATAATTTTTGTCGATTAATCAAAACTGTGGTTAATCACTGCTCATAATTAATCAGTTAGTTGAAGTTAGTGTTTCTGATTGATACTGTTTTTAATTACTGCAGTAGTCAATTAAACAAAATTATGATTAATTGATTAATATGAAGAAAATACAAGTAATTGAAGGGAAGATATCCACTGCTAACTCTCTGACTACTTAAGTGTTAAATACAGGCTGTCTGCCACTGTAACTCATTTTGAACTGTTGACTATGGACATTAATGTAAATTTGTAAGTATTGCTAGTAAAGGCTTAGATGGATCTTCAACCACTTACAAAGTCCTGAACCCATCCATGATAAGGTGTAAATTGTAAAATCTGTCTTTTGCATTGTTTTATAATTTGTGTAACATTATTCTTTAATGTCCAATAAATCATAAAGTTTCTTTTTTTTTGTATTGTAATCAGTATATTTAAACACCTTCATTGTAACAGAAAACAATTTGACTATTTTCTAGGTTACTTGGTCATCTAGGCTTCCTAGAAACATAATAACAAAATAAGTACTGTAAATATATATATATAT